CTACCAACACAAACCTAGGTCATAAACAAACTACCTATGTGTTACTGTGGTAGTTTGTTTATGACCTAGGTTTGTGTGTGGTAGAATCATTTATTGAGTTTATATGTGTTACTGTTAAACTCAATAAATAATTCTACCAAACACAAACCTAGGTCATAAACAAACTACCACAGTAACACGTATAAACTCAATAAATGATTCTACCACACACACTCTCAAATAACCCACAATAGATCGTGGAAAGTAAACGAAGTATATTCATTGAAAAATAAATTCCAAAATATTTTTACAGCCATGTGTTTATTTCTCCAACAAAACAACGTACGTATAAACTCATAGCAAGAGGTTACCGCCGTCAACTAGCAGCGCTACATGTGTCCCCCTCTACCACTTTATTATTCAACTAAATAAAAATGTGTATTAGGACTAAAATAGTAAAAAGACAAGATATATAGCTATTATTTGTCTAGTTTTGATCTTGATTGACTACTTGGAAGAAGACGCGTGTCTTTCGTCGTTTTCACGTGGGCGAGAACAAAGATAAATAGAAAGATAAGGTAACGGAAGGACGAGCAGACAAATAATTTGATAGATGAAAATAAGAAGGAATAGACAGATAAATAGATACGTACAGCTAACCCTACTTTTCTATATCTAGATAAGCTCGGATATGTCGTATTTTAAAGTAATGGAATAAGAAAGGGATCTTATATTGTTTTTCAAACACTTTGTCATAGATAACTGGGCTAGTTAAATGAGCGTTAACCCAACTAACATTATCACGATATTCAAATAACAAAAAAAAGACCTGCCCATTTTTTTTCTCAACGTTTCTCAGCGGTAAGATTGGGGTCCTACAACGCTAAAATTTAGGGTTCGATCACTACCATGGTTACTACGCAGATGATGCAGTGATGTGCATGAAACAAATACAAAATAACCGATCTAACATAGGCCATGAAAACTCAGGGCTGATGGAACAGAGTGAATATGTAGATAGTATAAACTCAGGGCTGATGGAACAGAGTGAATATGTAGATAGTATAAACTCAGGGCTGATGGAACAGAGTGAATATGTAGATAGTATAAACTCAGGGCTGATGGAACAGAGTGAATATGTAGATAGTATAAACTCAGGGCTGATGGAACAGAGTGAATATGTAGATGGTATAAACCCAAGGCTGATGGAACAGAGTGAATATATAGGTAGTATAAACTCAGAACTGATGGAACAGAGTGAATATGTAGATAGTATAAACTCAAGGCTGATGGAACCTTTGGAGCTGGAAAGTGGTCAATCCCGATTTGGCTTTTCGTCTTCCTTCCGGTTGTGACGCTTAAAATCACAATACCGGAAATGACGCAAGCCTGATAAGAAATTATTATTTCGTGTCATGTTTAAAAAAAAATACTTTAGAATATGTGAGGTTTAATTAGACGAAGAATTAAAAATAGATTACTACAAATTAGAAATTGATTACAACAAATTAAATAATATTACTAAAACTAGATTAGATTACTACAAATTAGATTATATTACTACAAATTAGATAATATTACTAAAATTAGATTATATTACTACAAATTAGATAATATTACTAAAATTAGATTACATTACTACAAATTAGATTACATTACTACAAATTAGATTACATTACTACAAATTAGATTAGATTACTACAAATTATATTATATTACTAAAATTAGATTAGATTACTACAAATTAGATAATATTACTAAAATTAGATTACATTACTACAAATTAGATTATATTACTAAAAATTAGATTAGATTACTACAAATTAGATAATATTACTAAAAGTTAGATAAGATTACTACAAATTAGATTAGATTACTAAAAACTAGATTAGATTACTACAAATTAGATAATATTACTAAAATTAGACTAGATTACTACAAATTAGATAATATTACTAAAATTAGATTAGATTACTACAAATTAGATAATATTACTAAAATTAGATTAGATTACTACAAATTAGATAATATTACTAAAATTAGATTATATTACTAAAACTAGATTATATTACTACGAATTAGATAATATTACTAAAAATTAGATAAGATTACTACGAATTAGATAATATTACAAAAATTAGATTAGATTACTACGAATTATAACTATATTACTACAAACTAGATTATATTACTACAAATTAGAATTATATTACTACAAACTAGACTATATTACTACAAATTAGAATTATATTACTACAAACTAGATTATATTACTACAAATTAGAATTATATTACTACAAACTAGATTATATTACTACAAATTAGAATTATATTACTACAAACTAGATTATATTACTACAAATTAGAATTATATTACTACAAACTAGATTATATTACTACAAATTAGAATTATATTACTACAAACTAGATTATATTACTACAAACTAGACTATATTACTACAAATTAGAATTATATTACTACAAACTAGATTATATTACTACAAATTAGAATTATATTACTACAAACTAGATTATATTACTACAAATTAGAATTATATTACTACAAACTAGATTATATTACTACAAATTAGAATTATATTACTACAAACTAGATTATATTACTACAAATTAGAATTATATTACTACAAATAACAGATTAACTAAGAATCAGAATTTCTGGGGCAAGAAATTAAAAGCAGATTTTGATTGCTATGAGTAACAAATGTTATTATTTTACAATATCAATTTTTCAAAAATATCTTATAAATATTGCCTCTGAATTTGCAGGATTTTCGCAAATAGCTTTTGACGCTCGAAAATCAGCTTAGCCAGTGCTTAGTGGTTTTTTTTACTAGAAATTCATTGCGAAAAACAAAAGGAGGGCGCATGCCGTACTGACGTCCGAAAGCTTAAACCGCGCGAAGTCACGAGCACCGAACTTCGTGGAGAATTACCGGTAGGTTGGCTTAAGACATCTAGTGCTTATCCCGCTGAATTATGGGAAATATCTACTTCTAGTGTTCCCCAAAGTGACCAAGATATTTGGCCGTTTTCATTTTCGTCCGCTAAATGGTCTATAAAAGTGAAAAATGAAGCCATACGATTCTGGATGCGTATTACTTTAAAGGTATATACTCTCGATACCCCTGTTTACCGATGTTATGAAGAGAATGTCTCCTACCGATTACAGTTTATATAATATAAGACAACGCTCTTTTCTTGTTAAAAGTATACCTGGAAAGAGTTTGTTATGAAAGTTATATTTCTTTATAAAAAAAACACACACAACAGTCTGTAGTAATATCATCCCAGTTTATAGTTTCTTTATTACATTTTCTGTCGTGAAAATGTCATAAATATCAATTTTCAGACCTACCGCTTCACAATTTGATTTCTTCTTATTGGTCATATAAATATGACGTCATTTCAAAGCTAAGCTTGACGTTATAATTTTGACATCATTACAAAGAAACGCTTGACCTTATAAACCTGACAAAAAGTATGAAATAAAGTACGTGTGAATAAAGTAAGTGTGAAATAAAGTAAGTGTGAAATAAAGTAAGTGTGATTAAAATAAGTGTGAAATAAACTAGGTGTGAATAAAGTAAGTGTGAAATAAACTAGGTGTGAAATAAAGTAGGTATGATTAAAATAAGTGTGAAATAAACTAGGCGTGAATAAAGTAAGTGTGAAATAAACTAAGTGTGAATAAAGTAAGTGTGAAATAAAGTAGGTATGATTAAAGTAAGTGTGAAATAAAGTATGTGTGAATAAAATAAGTGTGAAATAAGGTATGTGTGAATAAAGTATGTGTGAATAAAGTATGTGTGAATAAAGTAAGTGTGAATAAAGTAAGTGTGAAATAAAGTATGTGTGAAATAAAGTATGTGTGAATAAAGTAAGTGTGAATAAAGTAAGTGTGAAATAAAGTAAGTGTGAATAAAGTAAGTGTGAATAAAGTAGTTGTAAAGTAAACTAAGTGACATAAACTATACATATAAATGCAAATACTTGATTTAATTTATTAGTTCAAGCCCTACATCTAATCCTTATGCCCCCCCCCCCACTTGTCTCACACATTTCTATATGTATCCGTTTTACACACACTGTCGCACCGTTAATAAATATACACCTGGAAAAAAGT